ATTTGCAGAAATGATGAATTAATTGTAAGTAATAATGAACTCAGAGTACAAGATGAATAAATATGAAAACAAATTAGTTAGATGAACACAGTAATCATGAAACAGCTCCAAAGTTAGCCAAGTCATAAAACTACTCAGGAAAAGTATGATGAAACGTCAAACGAAATACCAATGAAAGAATTGTAATAATATACAGGGTGGCTCACCACATTTCGCCATCTAGATTTGAGTCATTATTATTACTTTATCTCTGATACTCCTTCATATCCTTTACAAAAAAGTATTAATCTATTTATGTGAAAAAATCATTAGCTTAGAAGACACAGAATAAAAGCATGTAATTCTTGAGGCAATAAGCGTATCTGTATAAAAGAATAAAAGACGAGAACGCAAGAAGCGTTGAAAGTATTAAGTGAGCGGAAATAATCTTTCAAGCAATTTAAAATTCGAGAAACAATTCCACGGCGTGAAAATCTGAAAGTCTGACGTTCATCAACACCGTACAGAATTTCTGCATGACACTCGGAGCATCGGAAGATTTAAAGACTCTGCGAAGAATGCTGCACGTGACAGGCTAGTAATTTATGCGCCAAGTCGACACGAATTCAAGTTTTACGGAAGCCATTATAATTTTATTTCCGGGCTTTCGGTATTCTCGACGGTACCAGGCCGCGACATTATCTTAACAACCGAGTTCGTTTTATTGCTGAATTTCGTTATGGTCTGCCTACAAACGGACTGGGGAAGAAAAAGGAGACGGGACAGAAGCTCGTTTGCCCGTATAATTACTCATGAACCGTAGGAAGTTTCACGAATCGAGAAATATTTCTCGACTGAGTGTATCTTAAAAGGATTCGTCCCGAGACGCGAGGTTGTCTGTTCGCGACGAGGCCGCCGGGTTAATCGAGAAAGAAAATAGTCCTACTAACCAGCCCGAACTTCTCGGAGAAATGAAGCCAGAATTTATCTTATGCCGTGGAATTTCGCCGGGGAAAGTTAAATATTTGCCGCGTGAAACGCGCGCGTAATTTATTTAAATTTACGGGAAACTTCGAGCCACGTCTTTCGGTACTTCCGTGAACTGTAAAGCGCGGAGAAAGCTCGCGGACGCGGATGAAAGAACAGGGAGTGATAGCTGCAAGCAGAATGAAAAGACAATGATGGTATTAAGAATACTGGAATACGTCGTTCGATAAGTTTATGCAAAGATAAAGACAACATTACAGTTGGAAATCAGTTTCGTCGTTTATACAGGTGGAACGTTTACATAGTTAACAATTTGTGTAAGCGACCACGTTCTGATTCTACCAGAGTAATTATACAGCTGTTTCAGAGCATATTCTCGTTTTTAGAGTGATTTTTGAGAATTATTAAATGTAATAAACTGACGTTCTGAATGTATGTATAAAATGATATATACGGTGAAATATAAGAATTTGGGAATATTAGATTTTTGACTTGATTTAGAGGTCTAGAGACTTGAAATTTAGGAATTTGAAAATTCAAGGGATTTTTAATTTTGAGATTTGAGAATTTTCCATTTCGAGGTTTCAGATTTAGGAATTTTTAATTTTGAGATTTGAGAATTTTGAGAATTTAGAGAAATTTAGGAATTTGGGGATTTGGCATTTTAGGAATTTATAAATGTAGGCAATTTTAAATTTTAGGATTTGGCATTTGATGATTTAGAAATTTAAGATTTTAGGGATTTTGGGAATTTTAGATTTTAGGCTTTGGTATTTGGCGATTTAGAAATTTAAGATTTTAGGGATTTTGGGAATTTTAGATTTTAGGCTTTGGTATTTGGCGATTTAGAAATTTAAGATTTTAGGGATTTTGGGAATTTTAGATTTTAGGCTTTGGTATTTGGCGATTTAGAAATTTAAGATTTTAGGGATTTTGGGAATTTTAGATTTTAGGCTTTGGTATTTGGCGATTTAGAAATTTAAGATTTTAGGGATTTTGGGAATTTTAGATTTTAGGCTTTGGTATTTGGCGATTTAGAAATTTAAGATTTTAGGGATTTTGGGAATTTTAGATTTTAGGCTTTGGTATTTGGCGATTTAGAAATTTAAGATTTTAGGGATTTTGGGAATTTTAGATTTTAGGCTTTGGTATTTGGCGATTTAGAAATTTAAGATTTTAGGGATTTTGGGAATTTTAGATTTTAGGCTTTGGTATTTGGCTATTTAGAAATTTAAGATTTTAAGGATTTTGGGAATTTTAGATTTTAGGCTTTGGTATTTGGCTATTTAGAAATTTCAGATTTTAGGGATTTTAGATTTAAAAATTTTGTATTTGGGAATTTAGAAATTTAGGAATATAGGAATTTAGGAATTTAGGAATTTGGGAATTCAGTAATTTTAGAATTTTTTGCAAATTCTGAATTTGTGAAGGTGCAATTCAGACCTCAACAATCTCCAATTTTGTTATTTGGAAATACATAAGTTTTAGCAATTTAGGAACTTGGATATTTGTGTCCCAGTAATTTAGAGCTTCAGAATTTATCAACTTGTAAATTTAGAAATTTGAGTAATTACAAATTTAACAACATAGAAATATGCAATTTTTCTAGCTTTATAATATTTTTATTCTTCAACTTCATTACTTAGAAATTTGGTAAACTCGAGTTGTAATAATTAATTGCAAAAATTGTACTCGAATTGTAAAAATTTTTAAATTTGATACTAGTTGAAAATTTAAAATTGAAAATAATTTAAAAATTGTTCTTAATAATTTGAAGACTTCGTTTCTTCGCAGATTTTAGGGATTTTAGATTTAAAAATTTTGTATTTGGGAATTTAGAAATTTAGGAATATAGGAATTTAGGAATTTAGGAATTTGGGAATTCAGTAATTTTAGAATTTTTTGCAAATTCTGAATTTGTGAAGGTGCAATTCAGACCTCAACAATCTCCAATTTTGTTATTTGGAAATACATAAGTTTTAGCAATTTAGGAACTTGGATATTTGTGTCCCAGTAATTTAGAGCTTCAGAATTTATCAACTTGTAAATTTAGAAATTTGAGTAATTACAAATTTAACAACATAGAAATATGCAATTTTTCTAGCTTTATAATATTTTTATTCTTCAACTTCATTACTTAGAAATTTGGTAAACTCGAGTTGTAATAATTAATTGCAAAAATTGTACTCGAATTGTAAAAATTTTTAAATTTGATACTAGTTGAAAATTTAAAATTGAAAATAATTTAAAAATTGTTCTTAATAATTTGAAGACTTCGTTTCTTCGCTCGTATAATTCTTTAATACCTCTTTGTATGCACACAACGTGTACTTCACGTAGACGTTAATCAGATTAATTTGTCGAAGCCCCATAAACACGCAAGACCGACTTCAGAATTTCTCCGACTGTTTCACAGCAGTAATAAAACGGCACCAGGGGACTGTTTTCCCTTCCGACTTTATTCTTGCCCCCACCTTGAGTTTAATACCATTTTCATCTCGACCGCAGCTTGCGAAATTGTTAAGAGGGTAGATTCCGAGGGAGACAATAAATCTAGCGACGGGACGAATTCGAAGATCGTTCTAATTGGACGGTCGGATACGTCGTCCTTGAGGAAAGTGCAACGCAAACAGGAAAATATTTTCATCGTTTCAATCATCGGGACAGTAATTTATGAGAGTTTCACGGGCTCTCGAGTTTTCGAGAGGCATCGCAAATCGACCGGCGGGAAAGGCGGCCAAAGTTTTCAATTACATTAGAGTCGGCCATATTAAACGCATCTTCGAAGATTCTTCTCGGCGGCTCGGGTTCTTCACTCTCCATCTTTATCTCTTCGGCTAACTCGATCCGAACAGAGTTTCGAGGGTAAACTTATAAACTATGAAAGTTACTTTTCTATTCAATGAATTGACCGTGCTTTCGTGCAGGTACGTGCCTCGAAACCGTTTCGTCTTCGACTTCTTCTGGGTACCCTACTTCCCTCTTTCGTTCCTATTATCCATTGCCGCGCGTGAGAAAGAACACAATGTTCTCGACCGACCGGAAAATTACAAGTTTACCCGCCATTCTCGCTTGGGTTTGCCCGCCTTTTTAAATCAGCCTCTTCTGCGTACTTTACATGCAGATTTGATACTTCTTACGCGGTATTCGATAATGTAGGGACTCGGGGTTGATACATCATTGACAAAGATCGCGTTAATGAAACCCAATAATGTTTTCGTGATCACTTCGTATATTTAGATTCGGTATTATGTTGTTGAGGGGTTTAGGTTTTGATATTCAAAGTGTTATAAGAATTTTATGAAACATGATAAATGTTTCAAGTCTCTGGGAGGATTGATAGATAACTGAAATATAGAAATATTAAATGTTTAATGTTTCAGACTTTTAAGTTTTCAAATTTACAATAGATGTCTAGGAAATGGGAAATTAAAAATATGTAAAATTTATGTTTTAGATTTTTTAATTTTTTAGTGCTTTTAATTAAAAATTTATGAACTTAGGAATTTCTAATTTGTGGACTACAAAAATTTCAAATTTGTGGACTTTAGAAATTTTTAATTTATAGACTTTAGGAATTTTTAATTTATAGACTGCAGAAGTTTCAAATTTATAGGCTCTTAGAATTTCAAATTGATAAACTTAAGAAATCTTATCTTTTAAATCTTCTTTCAAACTTTTTTTCTATCTTTCTAACCTTCTTTCGATCTTTGCTTCCATCTTTCAAACCTTCTTTCGATCTTTTCTTCCATATTTCAAACCTTCTTTCGATCTTTTCTTCCATCTTTCAAACCTTCTCTCACACCTTCTTTCATTTTTCAAATCGTCGCAAATTTGAACATTCACCAATTTGATTTATAAATTTTTAAATTTAAAAATGTACAAGTATCGAAAAGTATATAATGATCGAGTTTCCACGTTTCTAAATTTTCCAAGTCGTAAATTCGTAAATTATGAATATGTCACGGATTTCTCAAGTTTGGTGAATATTGTGAAAATTACGAAATAATTCGATTATTACTTTTTTGTTGCAGAGGTCGAAAAGAGTGCAGGAGCTGCACCGGGGGCATCGGGTGCAACTGCAGGGGGCCCTCGGGGGTTGACACCGTCCCCTGCCCCCTCAACACCCTCAACCCCCGCAACTACTACTAGCCCTTCAGTTTGCACATCTTCACCTTCATCTTCACCATCCCCTTCATCGTCACCCTCAGCTCTCGTAGCTGGTTTTGACAAATCGGTGCTACAGGTATGTTATTTATTATTGTTTATCGATTAATATGCTGTATTAATACAGTATAATATAATATATCACCTCTTGACTCATTATTTATTTGTCAGATGCGTCAGATCTAACTGATCACAGCTATAATATTTAAAGAGAAACAGAAATTGAAATGTTAGGTGCATTTTGTATTCAGTAAATCTTGACTATACAAATTGTAATTGGACTTAAATTTTATACTGAAGTGTATTAAAAATTGGAGTAAGAAATGGTCGATTTATAAGCACACAATATTAAACAAAGTCTGACACGGTTTTATAACAGACATGTATCCTAAAATAGCATTTATGGCAGCTAAGTTTGAATTTTCAACTTTGATGGACATATCAATGTTTTAATATTTTTCTATGCAGAGTTATAAGTTTCATTGAGTAATTAATAGGGGTGAAATGCACTCGTGTACTTTCAAGATTTTATTTACTCTGTAATGAACATTATTAATACATTATTAATAAATTAATTGTCATAATTTGTAGAAAGAGAGCAGTCAATATTAGCATGACAAATTTCAACAAAATTTAATTGACTTTCAGTAACTAATCAATTAAACATATAAATGTCTAACGTCATCTTAATAGCTCCAGTAATTACGTTGCGATCAGATAAACTTGTAGATACGAATTCAATGCCGTAAAAGATCTGCCTAAACACATTAATGGCGGCTGTGATTAATGAATGTTATTTTTAAAGAAGTTGCAGCTTAATCTTTCCGGAATAAATTAGCCATTTCGTTTGCAGTATCCTAATAAATCGTTGTTTAAACGAACTTCTCTTGTATATTACGTTTACAGACAGATTTATGCTGCAAGTAAAATTGTTAGGTGCAGAATAAAGGTAAAAGGAAATAGTAGCAGGTACTCTGTTATCTTTCTCTGCGATAAATTTAAGTACTTAAGCGGAAAGACATTCAGAATTACAGAATATTTCAGAACTCTTTTGAACTATCTTTGCTAGTAGCTCTTTTAACGTTATCGAACTAATGTGTTTATTAAGAAAATTTTATTTAGGCATATAAAATATTTTTGTAGTACTTTTGAGCAGTTATTTATTTAGATAAGATACCTTTAAATATTCTTAAAGGAAAATTTCTGACAAATATTCCTTAATATTCGTAAAAGAAAATGTGTAATTATTGTAACTATAATAATATAATTATTTTAAAATCATTTGAATAATGTGTTTTCTGAAAAAAATTGAAACTTGCAGAATTATTTTTTATAGCATTTTTCAATTGTTCATAGTTTCATTAAATTCATATTATTACTCATTTTACACTTGCCTTTTAATAAAAGCAGGTCATACAATATTACAATATTATCCGTATATTTCTCAAGTACCTTTAATAAAAAGTTTACTCATAAAATATTTAATACTTCAAATAAAAATATGGGAGTTACATTAAAAGCTATTTTAAATAGAACAGTCTGCAACATAACGTAATAAAGTAATATAGTAAAATATAAATAGCATATATAAAAATATTTTAAAGTACTTTTAATAAGAGTCTTTTAACATTTATAATATTAGAATCTGTTAATATTTATAACAATTTAAAATACATTATACCTTAATTTAATATACGTAACAGTTTAAAATATATTATACTTCAATTCAAAACCGTAACAATTTAAAATATATTATACCTTACTTCAAAATACGTAATATTTTTAAATATGTTATGCTTTTCTTAAAAATGCGTAACAATTTAAAATAGTTAGTGGGTAAATAATACTACAAAATTCCTTATCCTCGTCCTTGAATTGCAAGGATACTAAAATGATTTATTATAGTAGTTTTTTCATGTGCAATATAATTCTAATTTATTTAAAAAAAAAACACAAGTACGATTAAATACGATATAAAAAACAACTCAACACCGATAGTTCGTAATGTACATGCCTTTCACTCTCCATAGTCGACGCAATTCTGTCTCTCATTCTCAAAAAACGACCTAATTAACGTTCTTTGTATCCACTCATCACCCAAAGCTTATGCATCGTTCGCAAAAACACTCGCTGGCTCTTGAGTCTGGTTTTTATCAGTGCCTTTCCCTTTAACAACCTTCCTTTTGCGTTTAGAAATAGATTTTACCTCGAGCTCTAAACTACGCTATTAACATACTGTCGGTAACCCAGGAGTTGGCACGTAGGAGTGCCAACGGGTCTGATTGGATTATGGAGGTTCTATGACTACAATTGGTCAGAATAGAAAAATGGACATCAGTGGCTTGAAAATTTGAGAGTTTGAGACTTTGAGAATTTGAAAGTTTGAGAAATTGAGAATTAGAGAGTTTAAAGATTATAGAATTTGAGAATTTGTGATTTTGAGATTTGAAAATTTTGAGAAATTAAGTAATCTAAAAATTTAAGAATTTGAGAACTTAAAAATTTGGGAATTTGAAAATTTGTGAACCAGCAATATTTAAAAAGGAAGTGTGAAAATTTATAAAATTTATGAACTTGAAAATTTGAGAATTCGGACAGTTCCAAAATTCCTCTGAAATTCCATAAACGATAAAAACCCCAAATTTCAAGTCTCCCAAAATTTCATAAATCCACAAAAAATGTGCAACGTGGGTATAGACGGTGCGACCTATTGGCTTCTTGCACTCTGACCTCCAACGCGCCAAGTACAGTCTCGTCGACAGTATATGTTATCCCAAAGAATGTCTACGTTGCATTGTACGCATTCTCCTCCACTGTCTTTGAATCAAAGTAACTCTCCCTCAAAGCAGCTTTGATATTCATATCGTCGAAAGTATCCAAGATATTTAGTCCTCTGTGGTGAACCCCGTGGTTCTCTAGGGTTTAGCAAATTTTCAAGAATTTTCGATACGAAACGATCTTTAAATCGCATCGAGCAACAGGCTATATCACGAAACAAAGGAAACAACCGGCCTCGGCGATAACGTTCCTGAAGACTTATGGTCAGCCATTAATCGACCAATAAACCGCGACACCGGTGTTCGATACCGTTCGAGCTCGTTGAAAGAAACGGATAATCACCGTCGTTATAACGCTCCGACGGCAGAATACGCGTTTAAATCCAATACTGGTTGGTGGGAAGCAGCAGATAGAGGCTCGTCGCCTTCTGATAACAACGACGATAACGAGCAGCTGGTGGAGGCTAAGGGTGTATAACGGGGATGGCGTGGGGCGGCTGGGGTTGGTTAGTTACGATAATGCAGAAGCTAGTCTGGCCTCGGGCATCTTGGCTAATTAAAGCTCATAAATTACTGGCACGTGGAAAGAGAGTGACGAGAATATGGGCTAACGTAACGGGCCGGACGTGCCTCGGGCTACGCGAGCGAACGCGTGCACGAAAGTTGGACGTCGACGGGAAAAAATGCGTTAAACGCCGCTTCGCGTGTAAGGGTTGCTTTTAAATTTTCTACATCGGACTTCTTTCCGTCTTCGTAATGCTATTCCTGGAATTTAATCCCTTTTCTTTCCGAGTTTCTCTGCCCTTCGTTTCCAGACACAGTGGCTCATGGGGGGCGCTGGATTCGCCCGCGAGTGATGAGCTCGGGGACACGTTAGTTAGAATTGGGACTTCTTACAACTGGTTTTCGGTGACACACCGAGACGAAATGACGTGGCGGTGACAAAAATCTATATTTTTTATTTGTTGTGTATTCTAATAAAATTACTGGGATGGTGAAGCGGGAAATATTTCATTGAAGTTAAAAAGTTGTTACTGTAATTTTGCCAAGTAATTTAGAATTATGTAGGGAATGTAACATGATTCGTGAGGTAATATACAATGTATTGTGCGAGGTACAACGGAATTGTTCGACGAAGCGATAGACTTTTGTTTTATTCGACGTGTGCAAGCCTGCACGCGTGCCCTGGGTAGAGGTTTGCGAGACGCCGAGACACAAAGACGTTTGAATATCATTCAGCATTATATTAAGCTATATCATACTCTATAATATAAAATCGTAACATAACGCGTAACGCGTAACGCTGTCACGCGAATCGCTACCCCCTCTACTCCACAGTCCAAGGTCCACTCACCATGTCATTTTAGAAACGTATTCACACGAAATAGGCGCGAAGCGCCTCGGGGGGTTGGGCCGCGAAGCGGCCAGGGGGCACCGCCCCCTAGTATTTGTATATATTTGATTACGAAGTTAATTTCTATCAATTAATTTTTACATTAAGGTTGCTGTAATAAAAAAAAAATAATTTTATAGTGTCAAGATATAAAATAAAAAATACTGTACGCAACTATTATATTCATGTTTATTTTCAGTAATTGTGTTCTCATCAGCAAACAATGGGAATTTATAACCCCGTTAGTTCTACATGATTAAAAGAGATAATTATAAGTTAAATTGAATTCGATGAAATAATAATAAATCAACATCAAATTAATAAATTAGCATGGTGAATAAAAGCATTAATTCGATAAACGTATCTATTATAAGCAATGCGTAGATTCTATGCAATATGTACGATTATTAAATCATAACGAAATTAATAATGGTTTAAAACTATCAGTTCATATATTGCGTAATTATGGTATACATTATTTGAACTGTTTCAGACAAATTAATTATATTGTATTTTTGTTGGTACTTATTTTGAATAGCGGCATCACATGTTACCATGCATAATTAATGATTATGGCTCATATGCTTGATATTTGGTATCATATGATTTACATTAATTGATCCAACATTAAACAGGCAAAACTTAATTTGTAATTTCTTTCTCCGTATCTATTCAAGAAATAAATAAACGAGTACTTATAGAAGTAGAACTGTACTAGATTATACACATATATGTATACTTAAGTAAAAGAAATTACACTTATCGAAATTATTTTTAATTACAAACTCAATCCAAGCCTATTGCTAATCTAATCTTAGCAAATCCAAAATTAATTAGTTTGTTACAATAAAATTTTCTATTCCACTTTTTATGACGGCTGACTTGCGTAACAATAGAATAAAATACTTA